TCGCGGATTAAGGAGATAATCCCTGTGTTGCAGGTTTGAATCCCTCTGAAGGACGTGGAGACCGTTTCTCCAATGAGACCGTATAAACCGAGGTCCCTTGTCGCAGTTGGTGCTGGCACGAAAAAGGTCCCTCACTGTGGAGGGGACCAGGGCCCCATTTTCTTTACAATATATGCATAAGATTTAATAATTCAATAATTTTAGTGTGGTTGTTGCCTTTTTTGGCTCCTTAACTCTGTCAAACAACCGCTGCACCCCTCCCTGTCGCTGTTGGTGCTGGCACGAAAAAGGTCCCTCACTGCTCAATGACCCAGGGTGTCGAGCAGCTTTCCAACGGCAATTGTTAGTGTTCCCATGAGTGAAAAATTGGAGCAAGGATCTTAAGACAGCATTTAAACACCTTTGGTTTTCGTTTCTTACATAACCACATTTAACGATTGATGCCTGTCTCCAGTTGGTAATACCCCCCCCCCCCCGTGCATTCTCCATTTGCAATACACATAACAACCAAACTGCATTAACCGAAATACAAATAAATATATAGAAAGAAAATATATCAAGTACTATACCTCAACTCCTTTTATTTTTCATTAAAATCAATCCACGATTTTCTATAATTAATCCATGTTTGATGATTAATTTATATTGATAAATTGTTTATATATACTGACATTTCCAATTTTCGGCATAGGGATTTATATATAATAACCCCATTGTAAATTACATATGAAAAAAATATAAACTACTAATCGAATAAATATGATTAAAGAATATTTATTTTATTTCTGTTTATCTTAACACATGTGGAATATTCCATGTACGAGTGAATAGGTCTTAGTGATGACGTATTACGCATCTTATGAACGATAACTCGATATATGAACGATAACTCATGTTCGACTTCTTTTACGCCATAGCATCTAGTCATTACCAATATCAATCCTTATACAGCCTGACGCCGTAACGTCAGGCAATAAGAGTAAAATAAATCGAAAATCAAAATAGAATAATATGGATTTCTATATGCTTTGGATTTTTCGTGGGTCTTAGGTGAGATGATTAAAGAATTAATTGAACAAAACAAAGAAAGCAGAGGGTGACCAGGGATGGGCTAAGTGATGTTCCCGCCAATTTTATTACGGATATCCTCGAGTCAACATGTACTCTACCACCTACAAAGATAAAACAGAACTGTTTTTAAAAAAATATACACTTTAATATTGATACCGGTAAATAAGAAATTATTGTGCTTACAGTTAATATGGATGTTAATGGTAATCAAAAAAACTTTCTCCAATATAATTTTATGTACTAGAATTTAAATATTGAAATTCACCTAAAGTAAAATACTGTGTGAGACTCATTTTACCGTTTCCTCCCTTGCTAAAACCAAGTACACAGAGGGCATAGACATAACCTTTGGCTATTCCACCCCGTAGGTGTGTTTACCAACAATGGAATAATCATTAGCTGATTTGATATTTTTTTCCCAAGAAGCCACCATCGCATATAGAAGTGAAACTAGTGCAAAACGAAAAAACGCATAAAAAAAGAATTCTTCTAATATTCCTTAAGGTCTATTTCACAATATCTTCCCCTTTACTTACCTTGTAACTCAAACAGTCACGCGGACACGCCTCTCCATTTGACATACACTCTGTTAGGCTCATCTGACAGGATGTCAACAACCTCGGGATACAGTAATGGCGCTGGAAGTAATACAAACAACATTTTACGATATACTTTGACAATACCCTCCTTTTTCATGACTGAATGAGAATATATAAAGCACATACTAAAAATCATATCCCCTTACGGTTAGGGTCCTTGGCACCTGATACATTAATCTGAAATATCCGTTTTTGTAAAATGAAAAAAAAAAGATTGACGTAAAATGAATTTATAAATTGCGAGTGCCCAAAATGAAAGAATTTAACTTAATGCGCAAAGCTTGTTATCCTTTTGATTAGAGAGAAACAGGATAAATTTTATTTAACGGACCTCAAAACCTTGAAAAACTCCTTTGATAGCCTCCCTTGTAATTGACATTGGATCCCAGGTTACCCATAATGCAGCAGCGTTATTCTCAGCCGATGACATTGTTGGACGAAGGAAGGGGACTGTAAAATTGACGATTTTTTTTATTTAAAAGTGTTGACAAGTACATCAGTGTTTTGTAACTTTCCAGAGGAGATAATTCAAATAACCAAAAATTTATCTATGAGATGTAAAATGCGCAAGTAGGAGGTTAAAATGTCTACTGTTAATTTCCATTTGAAGTCTGTTTGATGAAGTCAACGGGATCTCTTAACTTTAAAGTATCTCCATATACCACATAATTTATAAAAAGCTTTATCCAGAGACAGCTGAAAATACGATATATTTCAGTTTATTGCATACAGTGAAGAATCCACCAATCTTAGATTTCTTATTTCATTTAAAATAAAAAGGAAAAATCAACATACCTTATTTGGCGTTGAACATTCATTTGGTTTTTTAAATAAGGAAAACTACCGTGCACAACAATTTTCAAAATCTGAGATGCAAGCTTAAAAAGAATAATTAACGAATCAAAATTTTCATTAATTAAAACAGGTCACTATGCAGCAATAATCTAAAATTGACTTCAATAATTACCTAGTGAACAGGGAATGCTTACTCTTCCTTGGCACCTGATCCCACACCTGCTTTTCCAGAGGGCAATTGTTTTTGCCATGTTCACGATTCGTTTTGTTCATTCAGTTTATTAGATTGATCATTGTTCGTAATTTATTTTCACAATGCAAAAAGTCCTCAAATACTATGTACCGGAGCGACAAGATGGCAATGTCAACTAAAATAACACACAACTTATCGTATAATTAGTAAACATGGATGACTTACTTCTCTGTGAGGGATAGACAACGGTTGTCGTGTTTTTAAGGTCATCGCTATTAAGATTGAACACACCGTTTCACATCATAAGGTAGATTACAAAACTTCTCATCTTTGAGGTTTACAGCGTATTATTTATTTTTACCAGACACCATTTCTGAATAATATACTAGTTATCCGTCTTTAACATTTTTCAACAGATGTCAATTGACTTTGTGTGAAAGTACCAATCCCTGCACATAAAATTTAATACTATTTCATAACTGCAGGCTCTCATAATTTTTCATGTATTGTAAATAAAATAATTTGCTTTTCAACATTCCGCACTGGGAAATAATATTTATTGTTTAAATATTGTGTAAGACAAGCAAATTCCTATCCACATGCTCTCTCCTATCTAGGACCACTGCACAGGTCTTTCATTTGGATAAAAATTCCTTCCACCATACATACTTTCAAGTATGACAAAATTAAAGCATGCTAGACAAACACATACGCAAGGATTATGAAGTATTTGCGAATCATATCATTTTTGAAGGTTTTTTTTAAATAAAAAAAAAGATTCAATGAAACTTTAATGAACAGATTGAATTGAAGTAACACACATACGTGTTGAAATAGAATGGACAGCAACAATCCAAATCAATATCTTATAGCTAATTTTTACATCCATGTCTGATTTAATTGTAGCATGTACTGAAAAAAAGGAAATTTATAAAACTGCATATCTTGCTGTAGATTACATAAAACTTTAGTTTTAAACTTTTAATGTAAATGCCTCTTAATTATACAGGCCCACGGCAGAGGACCAGGGATACCTTGCTTATATATACATGTAATACTGAACATGCATTATATAATTAAGAAAATCATGCTGTGCACAAGCGTTTAATGTCACGAGGATAATTTATATATATTAACAGTTAAATATAAGATATAATTATTTTAAAACAGATCTTTAGTTTCTTCATGAAAGGAACAATTAATAGGTTTGCGGCCGAATTTTTGACGCTTGCGTCAATATATGTTTCTTGTTTAATTTGTTATGTAGTCGTTAATGATAGCTGCAGCTGCCACCTGACATTATAAATGTTTAATTTAATAGGAATGTGGGGCCCCTTGCTCTCTCTTGGACTTAGGAAAAGTTAAAATCCGCCACTACATTTCTTCTCTTTCAGTTTCTTTGAGTTGTAGCGGGAAAATTCTTGGCACATTGTAAAACGTGCATTATTTCTGCTAGGACCAAATCTTGTAATATTCTGTAGCCTGCTAAGTCTTTTGATGAATTAACATTTAACCATATTTTTGAAATTTTTTATATATGTACATGTATACACGTCATTTTAATATAAATAGGTACGACAAATCCTGTTTAAAAAGAAAAAGTAAAATTGTGCAATATACATAACGGGGTCTTTGCTTTAGACTATGCTCAACACATACTTCTCCGCACCTCAAACATCGGCTTATACGTGTATATACCTCTGTCGTTGGCTCGCGTATACACAGTGTAAACACGAGAAATAGTGCGTTTGTTTTAATTCATTATAATTCAATTTCTATGGTTATGTCTGAGTTTTGAGATAGATAATTTATTTACTAAATCAATACAAAACTATTAATTTAAATTGAAACAATCCTTCAAATTTCACGTTTTATACGTTAGAATGTCAAAAATTGACGCATTGCAGAGGTGTCTGAGAGATAAAACGACAACTCTGCATAGGATATTGCTCAAACATGTCTAAGTTTCTCAATATTAGGATTGGATGAGATATTTACCTCACTGGGAGTCATTCTTTATTAAAAAATTAATTTTATGTTTATTGTGCGTTCTTGTCAAACAAGACACTCTTTTTAATATACTATTATATTAATGTTAAATATTTTTATTTAAATTGTTTCAATCAGAAACGCGCAGCGACTTCAAACTTTCATATCATATGACTTGTGTGTGCGGCCGGTAATGATAATATAGGCACTTTACATCTTATATTGAAATTTTCAGCCTTCAGGCTAAGTACGTGAACATTTAATATGCACAACAATTATTATAGTAATTAGCTTTTGCTTATGTACGGCGATTTTCTATTTGTATCTTTCGTACATGTACAAATTCTACATGTAGTACAAATAAATGACTGTTAAAATCATTATTGAATAATTGACTTCTATATATAGACTAAAATCTTTCATTCTTATAAAAATTTGCCAAATTAATGTGAATTATTGTATTTCAAATTCGAATAATTTTAACATTTCTTGCACTATTTCTTTATATTTCTTATAAAGTATGAATTATAGGTTCTGAAATCTCACAGGATTTCGCTTCATAATTGTAATGAGAAATTTTTTTTTGGTTGCTTTTATGTCAGCCAATCTTTCCAAGATAGTTGGAATTTTAAGCAAGATGTTTAAATATTTATTCTTGCAAATTCTTTCTCATTATGTGCGAGGACGATAACTCGTACAACCTCGTACAATGGGATGCATACATATAGTTAAGATTGATAACGAAACGAAACGTTCGGGGAACATGCAAATTTATTCCAAGTTCTTGCTATCGCAGTTGAATGTGCACTTAAATTCACAAAGTTGATAAAATCAGAAGACCCATGATTATACAAATATAAAAAGTTAAAATACAAGACGAGACAAATAAATCATAATTAACTAATTTTTGTAGGAAGCAATATTAAATACTAGTAGTTCATTTATTTTGGATCCTCTTTCAAACACATGCATATCATTAAACTCGACTGAAACCAACTGCATGTCTCGGAATATTTTCGGGGAATCTATTACATTAAAAATCGACTTTTTATAAATTTGTGAGTATCTGATAACTATACCAATAGACACATTGTCCTCATCCTTTCCTTACGGTAATCATTTTTTTTTTTTACAAAAGGAATCCAGAGAAGGTTGTGATAGGTACAGAGTCGGAATAGTATCCTGTGCCTCGACTACGTTTGACCCACACCTTGTCTCCCTGATTAGCCTTAACACAACCAGGTTAACCCCTGTCTCGAAATAATCCTTATCATGCTTGTCGTGCGCCATTGTTCTGACCTGAGATTCTCCATTCAATACAATGTCCACCCAAATTTCATTTGTATTATAACTCTGTACACAGACAAAGAAGACGTAGTGCCCGTCCACGGGGGCCGTGAACATCCCTGTAGTGGGATTGTAACCTCCACCTGTATTAAATATTATCTTGGGGAAAACCAGTGTACTTCCGCTCCATGAAGTGTCCTGTGACGTTATACCCGCGGTGAAGGCTACTTTTGTTGACACACCTAAAAAACACAATAGAAATATTTCACTTTACTTTCAATTGATTTGAGTATTTATTTAATTTAATTTAGTATTAAATTACTACTAAATCAAACTATAAATATTAATTAATTTTTAATTAAATTATTGGTATTTAAGAGTGAATTCAAAGTTCAAAAAGTTAGGGATAACAAACAAAAACTAAATCGTAATTCCACAAACATCAATTGTGTATGAATAATAGTATTTAGTAAACTATAGAAAGGTGTAGGGTAATTATCAATAAAATAAATGTTAATTCCAAGTTGGGATCAATTTTGCTATTTAGTGACTACAATTTTAAATGATTTTTCAGCATAGAGAAGTGAGAAGGATCACTTCATTATAAGTAGGGATCTGACCTATAGGACCGGGCTTGGTTTTATTCTCTACAAAAAGCTTGTCGATTTCCGTTCTGATTAATGACATTAGGCTGAATACATATAACAATTTGTTTTTCCTAAATCTTTATTTCAGTGAGTAGAGATAGGAGGAACCCTTTTTATTGATTTTCTGAGTTTGTTATCTCCAAATGTAATAATTGATACTTTTCTTTACTTCTCATTGTGCATAAAGGTAATGTCTACTGCCTCTGAAATTCTATTCTTAATGTCTAGGCTATTTATCCGTGGATATAATAAAAAAAACTTGTCTTTAATGTGTGCAAATTATAAAGGCCTACATGAAATCCAAGTGAGTGCATTTACTGAAATATGAAGCCAAAATCAATGTGATTAAATTCTAAGGGATATATACAATTGAAATTCATCGCAGCTCAATGCTGCCAGGAATACCTGTATTGAGTAACACATAGTGAGTTATTCTTGTCCTCGGAGAAAGTGTGCTTATACTGAGGTTCGTTCCACCTGACTGACAATTGTACATTGGATTGTTACGATTTGATATCTCTTTAGTGTTTCTTATATCAAGAATGGGAATGCATAAGGGATAAACAATTGAAGGAAAAATACACAAGTCTAGAAAAAAATTAAAATAGTCTTTGAAAAGGCGAAATTTAAAACTTTATAAGTGTTGTACCAGGTGGATTCGAACCCCCGACTTTAAAAAGAGAGTATCCAAGGTATAAAAGTCAGCGCATATATCAACTGAGCTAGTCTGACTATAAGAATGAATGGCATAAATTTTGAGAAGATGTTGAAAATCTGGTTTCCTTATTTTTTGTAGGTTTTTTTGTGAATTTCGACCCCAGGGCAGGGGTGCCCCTAAAAAAATCTTATCTTAAATTATTCCTTACATCCTAACCTATCAAAATATCATTATTTTATTTAGGGACAGGCCTGCCCTGATGGACTTTAAGGCCAAAATTCATGCAAAAATCAACACTTTAAAGGACAAAATGGTGTTTCGATCAACTTTGGAAGTTTATTGTAAAGTTGTAAATAATAAATTTTAGGTACAAAAAACAAATTAAAAAAATTTAGACATATATCCGGTAGAAAACAACAAATAAAGATTGAATTTTAAATGTCACTTTTTCCGGGAAATTGTTCTCTCCTATAGGTCAATTCTTTTGTTAAAGCGAATACCCATCCTTTATAGATAACGCCGTAAATGATACAGAAGCCCCACTTAAACAAAATGTACAATGCTAAAAAAATTATCATTTATCTGTTTTTAAATACATACCACACTGCCTGTTGGTAAAATTCAATCGGAGCACCTCAAGAGATGACAAAGAAGACGAGAGTTTTAATTGTTCAAACTGAGTCTGTTTGAGTTCCGATTGTAGGTCTTCCATTGTGTTGTTCATATGATCTGTAAAAACAGAATAACGAAGATAAGGTGGGGTATGTTAATTATTAAGGTCTTCCGTTTCCAACGGAAGACCTTCTACTGATTCTGATGATTAAGATTATTCTTATTATTCTTTTTTATTCCTTTTCCTAGACGCCAACTTTGAGGCCTCATATTTCACTCATTTCTCGATGGATTTTGCTCAAATTTTCAGAGTTGATAGACGACACTAAATTCTATCAGAATGATGACTAAAATTTCAAAAAGTCACTTCCGGTTTTGAGTTATTTCCCTTTAAACGAAAATTTATAGGCTTTCGTTTCCAGACAAAGGCTCAGAGACGGCTAAAGCTGGAGCAAAAATTCTACTGATTTTAGATAATAGAAGGATTGAAGTTGTGCATAGTGGTTTTTGTTTTTCGATTTCTCTATTCAAGATGGTGCTATATATGGGTCAAAAATTAGAACGCCAAAAAGAGCGAAAATTTACACATATTTTGCTTTTTATCTTCTAAACTAAAAATATTTTGTTAAAACATATAGAATAAAATTTGTGCAGAATTACAAGATCTTTTGAATGATATCTCGAAAAAAGGGCTGACCCCTAAATTAAGGGATCTAGAGGGGCCAAAAGTTTTTTCCAGATATCTCAAAAAGTATTGAGAATTTGTTATACACCCAAGAAGCAATGTTGTTCAAAATGTCAAGTTAAATCTAATGAAGTCGTCAAAATGCGTCCGGCGACGTCACTTCCGGTCAAACCGGAAGTAGTCAGAAAATGCATATTTTTGCTGTTCTTGACAAGTTTTTGGGTAACATATATCACAAGAAGCACAAAACTTAATTTTCTGTCCATCGACATCACTTCCGGTCAAACCGGAAGTAGCCAAAAATAGCTTCTTATTTAAGGTTTTGATGCAAAATTGAAATTATAAAGTGACTGGAGACGACTAAGCTCATTGCTTTCTTTTTGATGACGTCACTTCCAGTCAAAACAGGACGGAAGACCTTCTCGTTGCTTTGCAACGAGCTTTGCTCTAGTTTCTCACTGTTTTCGTATGTTAAATCTTCTGTCATGTAGTAAATTAAGATTTTATCGTCGTTTAAATATTCCCCTATATTATGATGAAAACGGAGGGGACTATAGGTTTTTTTTTTATAAGCGTCTGTCAGTATGTCTGTCCGTCCGTCCGTCAGTCTATCTGTCAGTCTGTCTCACTTGGTTGTCTATCACAGGAACGATGTGATCCACCCATATCACAACTTGAGAAAAAACAGCTTTTTAACACTGTAAGCCAAGGGTTAATGAGTAGCGTATTAAAAATCCTTAAGAGCTAGCGGAGATGGGGTTATTCGCAATTTTTTTTCCAAACGCTTATATACCGGTATATTGAACTAACTTTTGGTAATTGACTCTACCTTCACGAGTTTAAAATCAAGTTTGCATTTTGTTCCGATTCAATGATATTTGCAGGAATCAAGGCATTTTCAAATTTAAATGGGAACCAGGTTACGCTTGCTGATAGGGGACTAGTATTGCTAAGGCAACACTCTCAGAATGCTTGTTGTTTATGACAGTGGAAAAAAAAACATGTTGATGTAATATTCCAAGGAAAAAACAGAAGTCTCAGCATGACGTATGCCGTAAGGGCGATTTTTAAAAATTTCTTCTAAAATATCAAGCATTAAGCAAGGAAAATTAGATTAAGAACCACAAGTAAGGGAAAGATTTCGGCTAGCAGGGCTAAAAAGTACTCTACAATTTTAATCATTATAAATAGAAAACCAGAAGTCTCTGTCGAGACTGAAGCTCTACTGGTTTGAACTTATAGCAAAGGAAGAGCACTGTAGGAGGAGTAGCATTTTGAAACAATTTTACAGACATTTCTATTTTTAGTAACCACAGCAACACCGTTCATCAAAATTAAAATTCGATATACAGAATTATGTATCTTAGAGTATTCTACTTGTGTGCCAAGTTATACTGAAATCAGACCAAAACTGTAGGAGGAGTAGCATTTTGAAACAATTTTACAGATATTTCTATTTTTTGTAACCACGGCAACACCGTTCATCGAAATCAAAAACCGGTACACAGAATTATGTATCTTAGTGTAGTCTACTTGTGTGATAAGTTATACTGAAATCAGACCAAAACTGTAGGAGGATAAGCAATTTGAAACAATTTTACAGATATTTCTATTTTTAGTAACCACGGCAACACCGTTCATTGAAATCAAAAACCGATACACAGAATTATGTATCTTAGTGTATTCTACTTGTTTGCCAAGTTATACTGAAATCAGACCAAAACTGTAGGAGGAGTAGCATTTTGAAAGAATTTCACAGAAATTTCTATTTTTAGTAACCACGGCAACACCGTTCATCGAAATCAAAAACCGATATACAGAATTATGTATCTTAGTGTAGTCTACTTGTGTGCCAAGTTATACTGAAATTAGACCAAAACTGTAGGAGGAGTAGCATGTAGAAAAATTGTTTACAGACAGACGGACAGACAGACAGACGGACAGACGGACGGACGCCGGACGCATTACTATCGCATAAGCTCTTCTGGTCTCTGACCAGTAGAGCTAAAAAATTAACAAATTTCAATATTTTTTGAGTTATTTAACTAGACATCTTTTTAAAAGCTAACAACAAAACTTGCATTTTAAGACGGAGGCTGGATGACAGCCTCCGTGTATAGGGATTGTCTTGCCCAAGAATGTAAACAATGTGGATTCACCAAGCACCATCTATCGGTGGAATTGTTTTCATTACCAGAGTCGCTCTAAAAATAGAATTCCCAAGAGTTTCACTGGTACACGGGCCGCCAGGATAGGCATAGTCTAAAACAAAGATCGCGTCACATACAAGTATAAACAAACAGTTCTACTTTTTCTAAATAAACAGGATTTGTCGAATATATTTAAAATGACGTGTATATAAATACATTTCCTACGGAATATGTATAGAAGATGTGATTTACTATGAATTTTTTATCAGACAGAATATTAGGAGATTTGTTCCAACAGACTATGATAAAGCGCGTTTTACAATATGCCGAACCTTTTCCCGCCGATTCTAACACCAAAACAAGAACGAGAAGAAATGTAGTGGCGGATCTAGAGGGAATTTGGGGGGGGGGGGGGGTAACATCCACGGAGAGTGTTCGAGGAGCCCCACTTATCAATTGTTTCTTTTATTAAAGTAAAAACTATATCTAATTACAGATAAGTTTAAACTTAAGTTTTATATTTAATTGTAAAAACTTCCACCAGAATTTGCCTGTATCAAACTAAGTGTGGAGACGCAGATGACTATGCAATGTACCTGTATTATGTATTGAAGAAAATCATGCAATGTTTCATGCAAATGTTTTATGTCACAGGGATAAATATAAGATATTTTAATAATAGATCAAGCATTTCAGTTTTAATGGAATTTTTTGTGCTTGATTGCTGTTTGTAATCTCATTTTTCATTTCTTTTCTAATTTCTTCTTGAAAGGACCGATAAATTGGTTTGCGGCCGATTTTTGACGCTTGCGTCAATAGGTTTCTTGTGAGTTTTGCAACCTGACAAGGATCGATGAATAAACATATTTTTATCTGTAGAAATATTTACAGTCTAGTTTTGAATTGTTTATTTGATATGTATAATTTTAGGAAACACATGAAAATAAATTTACACTTTCTACAAGCGGTTTGAGTGTTTGGCGTACCCTCACATTAGATAAGAGAGAAACAAACTCTGATATTGAGATCGATATGCATTTGTAACGTTTGACCCTTGGTTACAACCTAAATCTTGGTTCATAGGATTTATATGATTTATCACATTGTATCCTGATTAATAATTAAAAATTATATCTTCTGAAAATAAGTTGTCTTATTGTTATATCTTTTATCCTTATTTGCATTTGATAAGTTGTCTTATTGTCATATCTTTTATCCTTATTTGCATTTGATACTTGTGTTTTACCTCTTTCACATCTCAAACTTTAATTATTTGTTTTATATACAAGATTACATGTATTTCTTATCATTGGTATTCATGTCAATTTTTTTTTACCCTACATCATTGGTAAAGTGATTGTTTTAACAGAGTTACTGAAAAGCAGAAATCATAGTTATATATTTATAAATTTTTCTCTACGTACATGTAATTTGTAATCATTTCTCATTGTTAATGATTGTTTTAAACAGATAAACTGAAAAGGACAACCATTTCCACTGGTATACGAGTAAAGAAAGACATTTTTTGGGTTAAATCTGTCATATGATAAAATACTACATTTAATACTTCCAGAAATATTGATTGTCAAATTTGTCAAGATATTTCTTTGTTATTGTAAGCGATACTATAGTTCTCCAAAGACAATTTAAACTTGTGAAATAACAAGTCTTATGAATTTTATTGTTCTGTTTACATAAAGTAAGAAAGTATAATATTTTATTCCACTAAAAAAATTGTGTTCTTGCACGAACATTTTTTGCATGTTAATGAAGTTGTATTACTTAAAAAAAATTCTGTGTTGCTTTCAAGCTAGGTCACCCCATTTTGTATCACAAAGATTTAAGACAAACTGTACAATATTATACAAGTATTATTTTGTTCATGTCCAATTATCTGGCTGCTTCTTTTTCCATGTTGGCTCATATCAAAACACTATTACAATAAGGCCGAGAAATTTTGATTTTGGTAGCTGTTACATGTCATACACACATGTTATTATGTTAACAGTAGGTCTCTGTGACCTATAAATAAAATATCTTGAAATATGGAAACTCCCGACTGGCTGAGGCCTAGTGCTGAATCCAGAAATTCTGAAAAAGGGGGACCAGTTTGAGGTCAAGGAAGGGGCCCAGAGCCACAATTAAAACATTCATTTATCAAATATTGTGTATTTTTGGACTCAAAAGGGAGGCCTAGGGGGCCTGGAGCCCCTTTTAATTCCGCCAGTGGGCTCATGACCAGAACATACTAGACCTACATTCATCAAACCGGGCCTGGGGGCATAAAATTTAGACAGGCTCACTTTTGATCTCAGTCTCACTATATATTCCTTAAGTGAGACTGAGATAAAAAGTTAGCCCGTCTAAGTTTTATGTCAACCAGGCCTAGTCAATTACTGTTTCTTACGTTGAAAGGTTTAATATTGAAAGTATCTGATCTAAATAACAGTGAATTTTAATCAAGGTGAAGATGAAATTATAATATCCCAACAATCTCATGAATATTGGAGTATCCTTTTAAAAAATGTTGAATTGAAAAAAAAACTACACATTATTCCTCATAATATTCTTAACAGCAATGTATATTTCTTTTTTGTGTTCTCTCATACATGAAGCCTCCGTCTAACAGTACTTTCAGTACTTTGATTTTATATTGTACTCACCAGATAAGGAATCTGTCATGGTCTGTTGATTTTTCTGAAGGTCAGTTAGAGCCAAACTCAGTTTATCATTGGCTGATCTCAGTTCTGTGTTATAAGCCTCCAGAGAATCATTAAGTCTCCCTGATATCAATTTGTATCTGTTGTCAATGAGTTCCGGAATATTCTTGTCGATTTCCAGACTGTGTTTATGGAGGTCCAGAAGCGTAATGGACAAATACCGAACTTCAGTTTTAATGTCTGCTAAGATACCGGACGTGTTCTGTTCAAACACTTGTTTTCCTTTAGCAGTTGTGTTTCGAACACTCGGCGACTGGCGTCCACCATTGTTAAATTTTCTTTTAAAGACTCAATATCCTCATTACATTTGGTAACTTTGTTGCTTAATCGATTGTTTTCCAGCTTAAGCGATCGCACCTCTTTCTTCAACTCGGATATTTCTCTGGTGGTTGTTTCTTTCAGCGAAGATATCTCGCTTTCTGAAGACACGAGACTTTGTTGAAGGGACACCATGTCTTTCATCAGTGCGTGGACATTTTTCACCAATGTCATTCGGATCAAGGTCTCTTGATTTAGTAACTGTCGAAATACATCGACGTGTTTAGTATCAAGTGAACCGAAGTCTAAGTCTGTTGAGTTTTTCATATTGCCGTCTGTTAGAATTGAGAAAGCGTGGGACCCAAACAAACTTATTAAAACAAACGAGAAACACGATACATGCTTCATGTTTGAAAAATAATAAAGAAAATCAGGCAAACCGAATTCTATTCACTTTTTATACCTGATGAGTTCTTCATATTTCCGTCTGTAAGAACTGGGAAAGCTTGTGATGCGATCCAAACAAGCTTATTAGAACGAACGCAAAAAACACAAGAAACGTTTCATGTTTGAAAAATAATCAATAAAATCAGGGAAACCGAATTCTATTCACTTTTTATACCGACTATAATGGTTTCTTTAATTAATGTCAAACCCCCATCCAAAAATCTTAGATAATTAAATTATAAATCAAAAACAAGTAAATTATTTCCTGAGCATGTTTAGGCATCCATCAATAGTTTTATTTCACTTCACAAGAAACTGCATCAACATTTATGCATGATGGTTAAATTGACACCAGATCTTTTAAGGCTAGCAACAGATTTCTACACAGTAAATGTACTGTATATATTCATAAAAATGCAGGCTTAATATTTTAGCGGCTTTGGCACAGACATTGATGCGCTAATTTATGAATACCGCCAAGAAATCATATATAAATACAATATAAAGTGCGGAAGTGTGTGTCACAAATTGACGAATACGCCAACTCAATACAGAGTGATGGTGCTTAATTATGAATACACCAATTTATGTACACATGCAGTAATTTAACTACCAGGTGTAAACCCACCCGGTTACTAGTTACTTCAAATAAATGCATCAATAAAGAAACATTTTAACATCTAATATTCTATTGTTTAATGCACAGTAACATGGGACTATTAAAAACAATTACTGTGAGAAAATAAGGTACTGTGAGCGATGAGCTCACTAAAATACCCCCCGCCTCCAATATGGTTATAACTGGTGAAAAAGTCCATGATTTCCTGTGGCCGGGAAACCCAAAATATGTGTCGGATCAAAAAGTAAAATAGGAGGTGCACAATGGCAATATGTAATAAAGATTCTGTGAAAGTTTCATCAATTTTCATTCTAATACCCTCCTGCTTTTGTATAATAATACAACACTATAAAAATAAAAAACTAATTGTATAAAAGTTAGTATGAATCTACAATGTTTAAAAGTAAAATACATCGAAAATGAAAATAGAATAATATGGATTTCTATATCCTTTGGATTTGTCGTGGATCTTTGGTGAGATGATTAAAGGATAAACTGAACAAAACAAAGAAAGCAGAGGATGACTAGGGATGGGCTAAGTGATGTTCCCGCCAATTTTATATCGGATATCCTCGAGTCAACATGCACTCTACCACCTACAAAGACAGAGCAAAATCGTTTTAATAAAATATACACTTAAACAAAGAATATAAATATAAACTAGAGGTACTGTGAGCGATGAGCTCACTAGATAATACCCCCCGCCTCCATATAGTTATAATGGCAAAGTCCATGTTTTGCTGTGGCCGGGAAACCCAAAATATGTGTCGGATCAAAAAGTAAAATAGGAGGTGCATAATGGCAATATGTAATAAAGATTCTGTGAAAGTTTCATCAAATTTCATTCAGTGGTATGAGAGGAGTTGCGGATTACCCCAAACAGACGGACGGACGTACAGACAGACGGACGGACGGAATTTTATATTCCCGCTTTTCAAGCGGGGGGTATAATAATAAATTATTATGATTACAGTTAATACGGATGTTATTGATGGTATTACAGAAAACTTTTTTTCCAAAAATAATTTTATGTACTCATATTTTGAGATTGAAGTTTACCTAAAGTAAAATACTGTGTGGGACTCATTTTACCGTCTCCACCCTTGCTAAAACCAAGTACACGGAGGGCATAGACATATCCTTTGGCTATTCCATACACCACCCCGTGGGTTTGTTTACCAACAATAGTATCATTAGCTGATTTGATATTTTCTCCAAGAAGCCACCATCGTATCTAGAAGTGAAACAAGTGAAAACCAAACGACGCATAAAAATGCAATTCTTCTAATATTCCTTAAAGTCTCACAGACAATTCATTCCCTTTTATATACCTTGTAACCTCTGAGAGTTTCTTCAAACAGTCCTGTGGACACGCCTCTCCATTTAACATACACGCTGTTAGGTCCATCTGACAGGATGTCTACAAACTCGGGATACAGTAATGGCGCTAGAAGTAAGAAAAACGCGGAAGCATTCTCGATTATTTTTCTATGTTACCTTACTGTTTATATATTAAATGATTTCTTTGCTCCTATACTGATAGTTGGCAAGAGCAATTTGTTTTATGAATATGAATAAATTCATGGAATAGATCTGTATGATACACAATTCTGATGTCAGTTAAAGTACTTTATTGGATTTTTTAAGGACATTTTAATATGAATCTTGACTATACTTTTCTTAGCTGAATATTTTTATTAAACATAAATCAGGTATAATTAAAAAAACATCATATCCCTACGGTTTAAGCATGTGCCCAGAAGCTGTTTTTCGCTAGGATTACTTTCTCCTGCCGTGTTAAACACTTGTACGGTCACCCAGTAGTCGGTGTTGGGTTCCAGTCCTATGACATTATTTCCTGACATATACCCATAGTGATAGGCGGTAACACCCTTACGGTTAGGGTTATTGGCATCTTCTACATTAATCTATAAAAATCGTTTAATTTGTGAAATTTTCCAGTTGAAAATGAATTTATATATCGCCACAGCCAAAATTATAGAATTTGACTGATATGATGCAATGCTTTTTATTCTTTGAATAAAAAAGAACAATTCTTATTTTACACACCTCATAGCCTTGAATAACCCCTTTGATAGCCTCTCTTGTGTTTGGCATCGGATCCCAGGTTACCCATAATGCAGTAGCGTTGATTTCCCAGCCGTTGACGTTTGTTGGACGAAGTAAAGGGACTGTGGATAAAAGATCAAAAAACATTTTTACGGATAAAACTCTTTTATATAAGACTATAGAGGTCTTTCTTAGGGAGTCGACAATATTGATAACATTAAATTATCACCTTAAACCACAGACACACACTTCAACTATTTATAGATACAATGGAAGAATACGCCATATTACAATTAATTGCATGCAGTTTTCAAAATCTAAGGTTTGCAAATTCATTTAGAGTGTAAAAAGAAAGAAAGAATGAAAAGAATTCATCAATATCTTGCCTTCATTCAAAAATCAACATTTATCTGACATATTAATCTATGTTGATAAGAAAACTATTGTGCAGTACAATTTTCAAAATCTAAGATGCAATTTTAAAAAGGAAAATAATGAAAAAATATCAATATTTCATACGTATAACAGGTCACTATGCAACCAAAATAAACTTCAATGAAAACAGATCTACAGGAGATGCTTATCTTCCTTGGCACCTGATTCTATCTCTGCTTTTCCAGTGGACAGTGTTTTTTGTCGTGTTCACGATTTGCTTTGTTTACTAGATTTTTGAGATTTGTCACTGTTCGTTATCTTGTCCTCAAATACTATGCAGAAGATGGCAATATCAACAAAAGTTTCACACTATATCTTAGTAGTTAGTAAACATGGAGGACTTACTTCCCTCCGAGGAATAGACAACAGTTGTCGTGCTGTTGGGTCCGTCACCATAAAGATTGAATACACCCACTTTCACTTCGTAGGGGAGATAAAATAAATTTTCATCGTTGAGGTTTACCGTGTATGAAATACTTTTACCCGACACCATTTTCTTAAACATATAATCTGTCTCTGTCAAATTTTTCTGAAAAAGTAACAATTAATTTCTTGTTTGAAGATAACTAGTATTAGTAATTTATAAAGTAAACTAACATGAAATTGTTATCTTGTCTGAAAACAATGAATATAGTATACCACTTGAAATCTGTCCGTTGTACCATTTTTTCTCCAGTATATTTTGTAACCCACATTTGGACCACATCTCTCTTCATCTGATAATAACTGCAAATAACCCTTATATGTTCATACAGTTTCAAACACTCGAATGTAAAAATTGTACATTAAAATGCTACAGCTAAGTTTTAAGTACAGAATACTGAAATCTTAATATTTGTAAGCTTTTCTAGTTAGTCTCCTTCTTGCATCTTTTAAAGTTTATAGAAAACTATATAACATAAACGTCATACCTGCCACGAAATCATCAGCACCCCGACACTGCCACCTCCTCCTCCCACGTTTTGTACAGCGGTGACTGGTTTGTCCGGCTTTAGTTGAATATACTCTGGAAAAAAGAAGGTTAATATTACTCAGAAATGAACAAGACATTAGATAGACCGTATAAGGTCACACATTCTTAATCACGTGAGCTGTTGCCCGATGTGAAAAATGTGGATCAAAGTATCAGTTTGTGTCAACTCCACGAAGACTAAAACATGTCAAGAATGGACAAAGTCAAAATGTGAAAAGACTGGATCAAGGCATTAGTTTAAAAGAATCAATTTGTGTCAACTGGAAAAAGACAGAGATGTGAAAAAACTAAAACGGATAAAAGCATCAGTCTGTGTCAACGTACTTGACGAAGACCCCAACGTGAAAAGACTGGATCACAAAGCATATGTTTGTGTTGAATGAAAGAGGACAACAACGTGAAAAGACTGGATCAAAGAACCCGTTTATCGCATGGACAGAGTCAGAATGTGAAAGGACTGGATAAAAAATCACAAGTTTTGGACGATGACAAAAATGTGAAAAAACTAGACAAGAACATCAGTTTGTGTCGAATGGACAAAGACGAAAATGTGAAGACTTGATAAGAACATCAGTTTATGTCGAATTGACGATTAAAAAAATGTGAAAAGACTGGATCAAAGCATCAGTTTGTGTTCAATTGGTAAATAAACATTTATGATAAAATGCCGTGACAAAAATTTCAACATTTTATATAGAAATCTGAATACATCTGCTTAAATTTGAAACTAATAAAGGTTAAGCTAAGCTAATAAGCAAAGTAAGATGCAATGAAAAATATGTA